AAATTCATAGACAGAAATGGATGCAAGTACCTACTGACCATCCACAGGTAGTTATTCATCCTGCAAGTTGGAATTGAACCCAACCACTTGATGACCTCTCAGTATACTGTGTATGTTTCCCCTGTAATCATTTAGCAGCAACGCCCCCGCCCATGCTAGCTGTTCCCATAGACTTCCAGTCATTGTGCTAACGCAAGTTAGCAATGGCTCGCGAAACTACCTTGAACTTCCCTTAAACTGCACACAGAGACATACAAATTGTATCCATTTCATCTGACTGGTTAAGTTGAAAAAGGACCAAAGTCTCATACTTTCTTCTTCTTCGGGATCATGGTGTTAGCACATTTTGTATGTGCAAGCTTGGCATCTGAAACACCTTAGTGGGTTCAGCCCAAAAGTTCTCACTGGATAACTGACATATCCTAACATGACTTTATTAGGTAAAGACTCTGCTTCAAAACTCAAAAGGACAGACAATGTCTTCTCAGTTTCACCATGCTCGCCACTGGGTCTGTGTTGCACCAAACGGCGGGTGTCCAAACGGCGGGTGTCACAGACCCAGGGAATTTTCCATTTCAGTTGCTCCACCTCAACACTTAACCTCTACGGGATCGGTGTCCCGTATACGGGACGGTTGAGCTAACGTGCGCTAATGTGAATAGCATGACTGTTGTAAGTAACAGCAAACTTTCCAGGACATAGACATGTCTTATATGGGCAGAAAGCTTAAATTATTTTTAATCTAACTGCACTGTCCAATTTACAGTAGCTATTACAGTGAAAAAATACCATGCTATTGTTTGAGGAGAGTGCACAACAACAAAAAACGTATAATGGCATCTGGTTTGATACATTCACCTCTGAAGGTAAATAATGTACTTAGATTCAGCAATCTTGCTCTGATTTGTCATCCTAAGGGTCCCAGAGATAAAATATAGCATAGTTTTGTTTGATAAAATCAATTTTTATATTCAAATGTAGGAACTGGGTGCTACAGTTTGAACCCCTGCTGTCTCTGGCTCCACACCCACCCTGCCAGGCCATCTAGATGTGTGAAAGTGTATAAGCTAATGATTCATCATGTATGTCTATCCTGGGAGTGTGTAAACTTACATGTTGTATTACCATATCATTTTTGTATGTTCTCTATAGTTATGTACTTGAAAATGTATAAATTGACCAATTCCGCACATTTGGGCATACTTGATACAAAATAGTCCAGTATTGCAACGCTTCACTGGATCAATCTGAAACTTTGCACACACTGCTGCCATCTAGTGGCCAAAATCAGAATTGGGCCTAAACTGCAATATTATATTGTGGCCTTTGCATTTCAAAGATGATGGAACAAAACAAAAAGAAAACGCATGTTTTTTTGTTTGTATTATCTTTTACCAGATCTAAGGTGTTATATTCTCCTACATTAATTTCACATTTCCACAAACTTCAAAGTGTTTCCTTTCAAATGGTATCAAGAATATGCAAATCCTTGCTTCAGGTCCTGAGCTACAGGCAGTTAGATTTGGGTATGTCATTTTAGGTGAAAATTGAAAAAAAGGGTCCGATCCTTAAGAGTTTAAATAAGTCTATTGAACACACTGTCATTGTTAGAATTTCAATATCACAAACAGAGTTTGTGTTCTAAGCAGTTTTAGGAGGACATGTCATTTTTTCTCCCCTGCCCTTCTTTCACCTGACAGTTGGCCCATCGAAACTACACCTAAACTATATCAAAACTAATTTCACACATCTAATAGATAGAAGACAATATTAAATTGACCATAGTTTGATGGGTGACAATATTCTCAATTGCCTTGTAAATGAATAGACTGCAGCGCAGCGTGGGTAATTGACAAGAAGGTTACAGAGTTTAACCAAAAGCAACTTTTTCAAATCATCCTTCATGCAGATAAAGATGTTTTGATTTCATAACCAAATCAGAAAGAGCAGGTTCTAAGGTTTCTAAAACACATACATTTGCCAAACAACTCCTAAAATTAAGGCATGGGCTCCATTTCAAAATATCAATTTTTGGAGAATATTACAGCCGCTAATCCATTCTGCACGTGAGCACTTGCAGCAGCATAGCCATAGGCTACTAAGCACAGACTAGTAACATAATACAACTTAAAATCCTGTTCTTTTGAAATAAAATGTCATCTCCCAGGACAAATTAGATAGCAATAGCAAGATAGCTAAATGTCCATGAACCCTGTGGTCCTCTGTAGCTCAGCTGGTAGAGCACGGCGCTTGTAACGGCAAGGTAGTGGGTTCGATCCCCGGGACCACCCATACACAAAAAAAAAAAAAAAAAATGTATGCACGCATGACTGTAAGTCGCTTTGGATAAAAGCGTCTGCTAAATGGCATATTATTATTATTATGTTTCATGTGTGTTTTGACATGCCCCCAAATTAATATAGTTGGTTCACAGTTGGTTTTGATATTTTAACCTGCGTGTCATGATCACGTCTGGTGTGGGTATACAAAATCAACATGCGCGCGATGGCGCACACGGGTGGCTGGTGTAGTCAGCATGTTAGTCATTTAGCAGACGCTCTTATCCAGAGCGACTAACAGTGAGTGCATACATTTTCATATTTTTTCGTACTGGACCCCTGTTGTTCTACAAAAAAAGTCCCCTGCACTTAAACTAATGCAGAGTAGAGAAAACAATTCATTGTATTGCTATTGTATATATTTAGTTTTATTTGTATCTGTATTTATTAAGGATCCCCATTAGGCAGCAGCTACTCTTCCTGGGGTCCAGCAACATTAAGGCAGTTAAATATATTATACACTGAGTGTTCAAAACATTAAGAACACCTGCTCTTTCCATGACATACACTGACCAGGTGAATCCAGGTGAAAGCTATGATCCCTTATTGATGTCACTTGTTAAATCCACTACAATCAGTGTAGATGAAGGGGAGGAGACAGGTTAAAGAAGGATTTTTAAGCCTTGAGACAATTGAGACATGGATAGTGTATGTGTGCCATTCAGAGGGTGAATGGACAAGACAAAATATTTAAGTGCCTTTGAACAGTGTCAGGCGCACAGGTTTGTGTCAAGAACTGCAACGCTGCTGGGTTTTTCATGCTCAACAGTTTCCCGTGTGTATCAAGAATGGTCCACCACCCAAGGACATCCAGCCAACTTGACACAACTGTGGGAATCATTGGAGTCAACATGGGCTAGCATCCCTGTGGAACGCTTTCGACACCTTGTAGAGTCCATGCCCCACACACACACCAACCACACACCACACACAGATAACCAGGTGGCGAAAGCTTTTCATCTTCCCAGCCAATATATCAATTAAAAGTGGATGTGTCTGCCACTGCAATAGAGAGAAAGTAAGTTATTAGGAAAGTTGAGAAAGATGGACATAACAGGAGGTTGGTGGCACCTTCATTGGGGAGGATGGGCTCATGGTAATGGCTGGAGCGGAATTAGTGGAATGGTATCAAATACATCAAACACATGGTGTCCATGTGTTTGATGCCATTCCATTTACTCTGTTCCAGCCATTATTATGAGCTGTTCTCCCCTCCACTGGTGAACATTACAGCTGCAATAGAACACACACATCTACCTCTCTGTCTCTCTCTCTTTCGCTCTCTCTCATAGTATAAAGTTGAATTAATTAAAGGAATATGAGCAGTGATGAGTGTGAATGTGCTGGTGTGTATGTGGAATATGTGGTACGAGCAGGTGCTAGTGCTCAGGTTTCTCTGACGTGTGTGTCCTCCCCGTGCAGTGACCCTCTCTGTATCCCATAGTCACTTTGGAATTCACATTTTACTCCATGTCATCTGATCGCTCTCCTTGAGGTCCATATGTGTGTGTGTTGTCTGTGTGTGTGTGTTTGTGTCTGTGTGTAAGTGGCACATTTTAGTCAGTGATGTTATTTGTGATCACAAGAAAAAGTTGTGTTTTTAGACCAGGGCTCTCCAACCCTGTTCCTGGAGAAACAACCTCCTGTAGGTTTTCGCTCCAACCCCAGTTGTAACTAACCTGGTTCAGTTTATCAACCAGCTAATTATTAGAATCAGGTGTGCTAGATTAGGGTTGGAATGAAAACCTACATGACGGTAGCTCTTCAGGAACAGGGTTGGAGAGCCCTGTTTTAGACTACAGGTAGCTAGCCTTTCTCGCTGTCTCAGACACACACACAGTCACTGTGCTGGCATGTGGAGTAGAGCAGAAGGGAGGACTGTCTGTGGGCAGTGAGCTGTGCAGTATGAGGACGCACACCATCACACTCTCCTCTCTGTCCTCTCTTTCGCTGTGTGTTAGGTTGAATGGTTGTTTTGATCTGCCAGTGTTTCTGATGAAATAGCAGATGTTTCTCGACTCACTCACTCCCCCAACCCCCTCTCTCTCTGTGTAGGTTGAGCAGACCAGTCGTCCAGACCTGGCCCTGTTCCTCATTAAGTACCTGATGATGCTGGTGGTGGGGATTCCCTCTGTTTTCTGGGTGGGCAGCAAGAAGACCTGCTTCGAATGGGCCAGCTTCCTACACAGACGCAGACACAAAGAGTAAGCTGAGAGAGAGAGAAAGAAAGCGAGAGGGTGTATGTGTATTTTAATGTTTGTGTATTTCTCATTTCAAGCTGGTAATTTGACTACTTAGTAATGTAGAACCACTCGCTAGCTTGATAAATTGCAGAAAATATTCAAATGAGTAATTTGACCAACGTGAAAATGTCACTAAAAGCCTCGTCACTCCCTCCCTCCTGACACACACACACTTCCCATAACCCGGTCTCCATGGTGATTAGGTTATTTTCTGCGCCTGTTCTCCCACCCTCAATAACACCCTCCTCCTCCGCTCACTCCATTCCTCTCTCCTCCCTCCCCCTCCATCTCTCCAACTCTCCCACCCTTCTGCCTTCCCTCTCTCCCTGCATCACTCCCTTTCTTTCCCTTCTCTCCCCAATCCCTCTTCTTTTGGCTTGCTCTTCTCCCTCCCCCTCCACTCATTTCCTGTCCTCCCATGCCCCTCTCCCTCCCCTCCCCCTTCACCCCTCTCACCCGCCTCCTCCTCTCTCCCTGCACTCCTCCCTCCCCCCTCTGCAGTAGTGGGGTGAATGAGAGCAGACAGGTGCTCCAGGAGCCAGACTTTGCCCAGTCTCTACTGAGGGACCCCCACATCCCCATCATCAGGAAATCACGGGGAACCTCCACCCAGGTAAGACTGGCACCATGACCTTGTCACCAAACATGATCCTAACCATAATTAATAATGTAATATAATATCACTAATTGTTTTTCATTCCTAATCCCCCTCCCCCCAGGGCACCTCCACCCACGCATCCTCCACTCACCTGGCCATTCTTGACGAGCCTGACGACCCTAGACACGCCCCTGATGACCGCAGACCAATCCACTCACTGGGCCACGTCTCCTCCACCCGCAGCAAGGCTGGCAGCGTGCACAGCAAAACCAGTTACCATGGCAGCCTGCATCGCTCCCGAGACGGACGGTAGGAGAGTAAGAGAGAAGGAGGAAAGGAGGGAGAGAGGGTTGGCTATGGATGCCACTGTATATGAGCCGTTTTTTTGGTCAAAGATTAATACATGATGAATCTGGATTCAGGCTTCCTAAAGCCTGGCACTTCAAGAGATCCTTGTCTTTAGACGGCTACTAATCTATCTGTTATTAACAGTTCTATAACTGAGATAAAATCACCTGGCTGTAGATTAGAGAGTACAGCTGGCATACCTGTTGGTGTGGGTTGTACATAAAGTTGTGAACTACTGAACTAACGTCTCCTCCCCCTCTCTTTCCCCTACCACCAGCTACACCCCCTGTAGTTACCGAGGCGGCGAGGAGCACACTCTAGCCCCCCACGTCAGCACGCCCTGCCTCAACCACCCGCTGTCCACTCACAGCAGCCTCTACCGACTGGATGCCCAATCACGGCACAGCAGCCAGTGTGATCTCTCCGTGGCCCCACCCACCCTTATCACCCACGGGACAAGCTTCGGCCACATCGCTAATGATGGCGACAATGGAGCCAGCGCCTGACTAGGAACAGGAAATTATGTCATCACTGCTGAACAAGAAGTTGTCAGTTGTCCCGCTCCCCACCTTTGACAGACACACAGGTCCCTCCCATTCAGCAGGAGGGTGTGAGAGACGGAGTGGGGCTTTCAGTTTGACTGACAAATGGATCTCTCCTGGACAGCCTTTCACAGAGGTTGCTAACTAGCGAGATGCTAACCCTCAATCAGTCAGTTGGCCTTGGACTGGGCTCCCAATGGAGGGAATGGCTACATGGACAAAAAGCCAGCCCACTATGAATGAGGGGGGTTCTATGTGTACTCTGATACACACCAAGAGACCCAGAGATGAGCTGATAAAGTCTACTCTGTGTGTGTGTGTTACGGTGCTCTTGTGCTGTGGCTGTGAAACAAGACTATTATAATTTTTTATACTCTGAAGATTGGCTGTGAATACTGCTGAAAAGATGTGCATGTGTGTACATGTAGTGCGGTACATTAAACAGCACTATACTCCCACCTGGTGGAGAGAAACTATAGAAGTTAGGAGAGAAAGAGTTGCTTGAGATCAACCCTTAGGCCCAACTTCCTATGCATTCCTGTAGATCAGAAAGGATTGAATAGGGTTCAATAATAAGGTAATTCCTTCACCTTGCCTTCTGATACGATAGGTGAAGAAAAACATTTGTTTGGCCATATTGCTTCAGGGCACAGCAGTGGCGCAGTGGTCTAAGGCACTGCATCACAGTTCTAGCTGTGCCACTAGAGATCCTGGTTCGAATCCAGGCTCCGTCGTAGCCGGCCGCGACCGGGAGACCCATGGGGCGGCACACAATTGGCCCAGCATCGTCCAGGGTAGGGGAGGGAATGGCCGGCAGGGATGTAGCTCAGTTGGTAGAGCAGGGCGTTTGCAACGCCAGGGTTGTGGGTTTGATTCCCACGGGGAAAAAAATTATAATAATGTATGCACTCACTAACTGTAAGTCGCTCTGGATAAGAGCGTTTGCTAAATGACTAAAATGTAAATGTAAAAAATGAGTGCGTAGGGAATAGTTGCTAGGGATCGATTTGGGATTCAGAAAGGGAGGGAAGGATAGAAAAGGAAGGACAGATGGAGGGAGGAGTAGTGCTTCATTTACTGCTCTCAGCCTACCTCACCCCTACCCGTGAACAAACACACACGCAAACCTACACACACACACTCCAATGTACACTAAACCCAGCCTACCTCATCAGTCCAGAGGTACCTTAAACCACGCCTGCCTCTCCTCAGTCACCTCAGACTGCTGCTATTGTGTGTATTTATAATACACTGCTGCGCCTATCTGTGTGTGTGTGTATATGCCTGTGTGTGTCAGGACACTGTCAATCTCCTGAGTTCTCCTTTGGTGTTTTTCCACCTGATGCCTAACACTTTACCCATGGTGCTTCACCACACTGAGTTGCACCTCAAGGACGTGACCACTGGGCACTTCAAGATGCAACATGTTCTTCTGTCTGTCTGTATGTGTCTGCCTGTCTGTCTTTCTGTAGTGTGTTACTGAGCAAAGTAGCATATTTTTGCATGTCAAACACCCAAATACCCTTGTTCCGTGCCTGCTTGTGTGACTGACTGTGCTTCTCCCAGTTGCCTCCTCACTCTCATTCATTCACCTTCAGTCTCCAAAGCTCTCCTGCCTGCTGTCGCAGTAGGAGTTGCCCTTTACCCACAATCATAACCTAAACCCTGGTCCTCAAGTGTCCAGGTATTTCAGGGGTTAGTTCCAACCAGGCACACCTCACAGAATGTTAATTGATCAACATCAATGATTGGCTACTTTTCACCTACATGTCCAAAGCAAGTAAGTTAAATTCAAAAACCTGCAGCATTCCATGCAGGGTTGGGGTCAATTCCTTTTCAATTCCAGTCAATTCAGAAAGTAAACCAAATTCCAATTCCAAATTTTCCTCATTGAAAATAATGGAAGAGAATTGGAATTTCTGTGTACTTCCTGAATTGAAATGGAATTGACCCCAACCCTGATTCCAAGACCAGGATTTCCAACACGGGATGAAGGCCAACTTGTTGGACCTACTCCTCTTGCTCTAAGTCTATCTCTGCTCTCTCTGTATAGATCACAGCTTTCCTAAAATAAAATAAAAAATGGTTGAGCACTTTAACTCTATGGCTAGCTCTGTCCGAATGTGTGTAGATGTCAAGTTGAGTTTTAGAGTTATGCAAGAATTCAAATAAAGTTTTTTGTATGAAATGTGTTTGGGATGTTGGGGTGTGTGTTGATTAATCTTGGTGTGGATATCTATACAACACTGCTGGGCCATCGCTATTTCTCACTCTGAAAAATATTGGACCGTGAAGTCAAGATATTTTGGGCTCTATACCCAAGCAACTTTTGATTTATTTGGATTTAATATATCAACAAGAAACAAATGAAGGCTACAGGATGTCAGGTTGTCTAAAAAACAACAACATCCACACTCCAGTCCAGTAGGTGGCGGTAATGCATCACAAGCCATGCCAACCGACACGATTATCCACAGAAAGAAACAAGGTTTCTGAGCATGCGGAGAATGCTTTTCATTTCGTGGCCTAGTCAAAGAGGTTCCAAACTTTAATTTGCCTAGCATTTCGCACTTAATAAGAACATAACTACTGTAGCTGCAAACGTGAAACGACCCTACAAAAAAAGGATACAGCCAATTCAATAACATGGTAAGCAAACAGCATATTTGCACAGACCCTATGGACGCTCTAGTCAAATTGTGTTTACGAGCATTTTGTCCAAATGGTTCAACTAGTGAGAAATGTGTGATAGTTGAAAAAAATCGAAGTTTGCTTCATTTACTATCATCCTAAATTAAGATATTGAATCATTTTGCCATCTAATGCATATTACGCTACTTTCCATGATGTGGACAGTGTTACATTACACAAACTGACGTTTTGACCACATCGAATTGGGGAGGAATTAGCCGAATTACACATCCGTTTTACCTCAGATTGGTGATGGTACCATTTAAAGTTTATAGTCAACACGACGACAAAATAAAGAGATTAAAAGAGATCAATATCTTCGGTTTTGTACTGTTGATTTTGTCATAAGCACTGGGGGGTCACGGTTCTCGAAAACCCTTCTCAATACATAGGGTTTTCAGTGGTTACATTCGCCCATGGTTGGCTCCATATTAACTACATTTCAGAAGCTGTGTTTTAAAGTTTAGAAACGTCAATCATTGCTTTCAAACCGGTTTTCGAAACATATGCCAATTTGCCCCTTATCTTTCATATCAGCGAGAAATCATATTTCGAATAAAAAATATACACTTACTGTAGCAGTTTTTCACAGATCCACAAGCTGAATGTGCCTCCAGTTGACAAACTATACTTCCTCCCTAGTTATGCTTACACACAGGTGTTCGGAGAACGCTAGATAGGTAATTAGCACAGGTGGCCACCTATGTCTTCCGTAAACAAGTGATGAGATATGGCCGTGTTAGAACATTAACCCTATAAAGGTGTGTAGTAATTTAACCTTATTTTTATTTATTATTGTTTCTTGCTGATACGAAAGAGTTCCTTATGTTTCCAAAACCGTAAAGCAAGGGTTGTTTTAACGTTCAGACGAGCGTCAGAGGATCTTAACAAAACTCCCCCCGACCAGAAGATACTATCATCAATAGGTGCTAAAGAAGTTAACGTCTATGAATGGGCTAGACCAGTGGTGTCAAACTCATTTTAGCTCAGGGGCCACATGGAGGAAAATCTATTCCCAAGTGGGCCGGACCGGAAAAATCATGGTGTATATATATAACTTAAAAACAACAACTTCAGATTGTTTTCTTTGTTTTAATACGATCAACATACAACATAAAGCTGGAGCCTGAGGACAGTGTGTCCAAAATAGTACAAGCACAACATCACTATTAATCATAAAACACGTCAAGTTGATTTGAAAATTCTAAAGAAAAAGAACACACAAACACACAATGCCTCAGTGATTAACAGAACTGTTTCACAGATCACAGAACTATATCAGGGTGTCATTTCTCAGGCAGAAATGTAGATAAAAATAATGAAATCCTGTTCCCCAAACAAGTGCAAGAACCACAGAGTCAAGAATAGGTTAAATATACAAATAAAATAAAAACAATTAAAAACAATAGCACATCAACATAAAAACATATAAACATAAAGCTGGAGCCTGAGGACAGTGTCCAAAAGCACAACATCACTATTAATCATAAAACACATCAAGTTATTTGAAAGTTCTGAGGACAAAGAACACACAAACACACAATGCCTCAGTGATTCACAGAAGTATATCACAGATCACAGAACTATATCAGGGTGTCATTTCTCAGGCAGAAATTTAGATAAAAATAATGAAATCCTGTTCCCCAAACAAGTGCAAGAACCACAGAGTCAAGAATAGGTTAAATATACAAATAAAATAAAAACAATTAAAAACAATATCACATCAACATAAAAACATATAAACATAAATCTGAAAGCGTTGCTCAAACTCCCGTAACAGTCCCGTTATTTTATCTTTGAACCGCTTCATGTCTGCCACATGTTGGGTCGCGCACACATTTTTCAGACAGGGGAAGTGAGCTGCATCACCACCGGCAAGTTGCGTCTCCCACAATGACAGCTTCAACTTGAAAGAACGTATGCTGTCAAAATACTGCGTGACAACTTTGTTGCGCCCTTGCAGCTGTTTGTTCAAGTTATTCAGGTGCTCTGTAACATCCACCATAAATGCAAGGTCCTGCATCCATTCTGCGGAATGAAATTCTAACACTGGTTTGCCCTTTTCTTCCATGAACTGTTCAATTTCTTCTCGTAAATCAAAGAAACGCCTCAGCACAGCACCTCGGCTTAACCATCTTACCTCAGTGTGGTATGGCAGGCCATAGATGTGGTCTTTCTCTCTGAGAAGAGAGATCGGATGAAATTAACAGTTTGGATGACCACCTTCATGACGTTATCCATCTTTAATGACTTGCAACACAAAGCCTCCTGGTGCAAAATACAGTGAAAAGTCAAAAAATCACGTCCTCCATTTGCAGATTGCACTTTCTCTCTGAACTTTGTCACAACGCCTGCTTTTTTCCCAAACATTGAGGGCGCACCATCTGTAGCCAGGCTGACAGCGCGGGACCAGTCCACTCCGACCCTGTCCAGCGCGCCGACGAGTGCGGTAAAAATATCAGCTGCTGTCGTTGTATCTGTCATCGGCACCAACTCCACGAACTCCTCGGTGACGGTCAATGTGTCATCAACTCCGCGGATGAAAATGGCCAGTTGTGCAACATCTGTAATGTCCGTGCTTTCATCAATTGCAACCGAAAACGCAATAAATGACTTTACTTTTTGCTTCAACTGGCTGTCCAAATCCACTGAAAGATCGGAAATCCGGTCTGCAACTGTGTTTCTTGTCAGGCTGATATTTGCAAAAGCCTGCCGCTTTTCAGGGCACACAATCTCCGCTGCCTTCATCATGCATGTTTTTACAAATTCACCCTCACTAAATGGTTTTGAAGCCACTGCGATTTCATTAGCAATGAGGTAGCTAGCTTTCACTGCAGTGTCACTGATGTCTCGGCTGTGAGTAAACACAGACTGCTGTTTCTTCAGACCCGCCAACAGTTCATTCACCTTCTCTCATCTCCGCTGTCCTTGAAAGTTGTCATATTTGTCGGCATGAAGACTCACATAGAGGCGACGAAGGTTATATTCTTTCAGCACTGCAACATGCTCTGAACACACCAAACATACAGCTTTCCCATTCAATTCCGTGAATAAATAGGATGACCATTTTTCTTGGAACACTCTGCACTCTGCGTCCACTTTTCTCTTTTTTGACAGAGACATATTGGGGCAATGAGGGTGCCAAAGCACATAATGTTAAAAGTAGAAGCCGTAATAAATATTGCGGGCAAAACAAAGTAGTTAATTGGCTGCACGTGCTTGACCTACTTGCTCTGCCCCGGTATAAACAGTTTGCTTGCTTAACACAATTTCTATTGCGCCATCCAGTGGACGCAATTGGAACAGTAGTTTATTTTTATTGAAAAATTGCAGTGCATTTTTATACTTTCTTTGTCTTTTTTTTTTTTTTTTTTATCATCTCGCGGCCCGGATTAAACCCGTTTGCGGGCCTGATGCGGCCCGCGGATTTTATACTTTTTGTAAAGTATAAAAATGCGCTGCAATTTTTCAATAAAAATAAACTGCTGTTCAAATTGCGTCCACTGGATGGCGCAATAGCAATTGTGTTAAGCAAGCAAACTGTTTATACCGGGGCAGAGCAAGTAGGTCAAGCACGTGCAGCCAATGAACTACTTTGTTTTGCCCGCAATATTTATTACGGCTTCTACTTTTAACATTATGTGCTTTGGCACCCTCATTGCCCCAATATGTCTCTGTCAAAAAAGAGAAAAGTGGACGCAGAGTGTTCCAAGAAAAATGGTCATCCTATTTATTCACGGAATTGAATGGGAAAGCTGTATGTTTGGTGTGTTCAGAGCATGTTACAGTGCTGAAAGAATATAACCTTCGTCGCCACTATGTGAGTCTTCATGCCGACAAATATGACAACTTTCAAGGACAGCGGAGATGAGAGAAGGTGAATGAACTGTTGGCGGGTCTGAAGAAACAGCAGTCTGTGTTTACTCACAGCCGAGACATCAGTGACGCTGCAGTGAAAGCTAGCTACCTCATTGCTAATGAAATCGCAGTGGCTTCAAAACCATTTAGTGAGGGTGAATTTGTAAAAACATGCATGATGAAGGCAGCGGAGATTGTGTGCCCTGAAAAGCGGCAGGCTTTTGCAAATATCAGCCTGACAAGAAACACAGTTGCAGACCGGATTTCCGATCTTTCAGTGGATTTAGACAGCCAGTTGAAGCAAAAAGTAAAGTCATTTATTGCGTTTTCGGTTGCAATTGATGAAAGCACGGACATTACAGATGTTGCACAACTGGCCATTTTCATCCGCGGAGTTGATGACACATTGACCGTCACCGAGGAGTTCGTGGAGTTGGTGCCGATGACAGATACAACGACAGCAGCTGATATTTTTACCGCACTCGTCGGCGCGCTGGACAGGGTCGGAGTGGACTGGTCCCGCGCTGTCAGCCTGGCTACAGATGGTGCGCCCTCAATGTTTGGGAAAAATGCAGGCGTTGTGACAAAGTTCAGAGAGAAAGTGCAATCTGCAAATGGAGGACGTGATTTTTTGACTTTTCACTGTATTTTGCACCAGGAGGCTTTGTGTTGCAAGTCATTAAAGATGGATAACGTCATGAAGGTGGTCATCCAAACTGTTAATTTCATCCGATCTCTCTTCTCAGAGAGAAAGACCACATCTATGGCCTGCCATACCACACTGAGGTAAGATGGTTAAGCCGAGGTGCTGTGCTGAGGCGTTTCTTTGATTTACGAGAAGAAATTGAACAGTTCATGGAAGAAAAGGGCAAACCAGTGTTAGAATTTCATTCCGCAGAATGGATGCAGGACCTTGCATTTATGGTGGATGTTACAGAGCACCTGAATAACTTGAACAAACAGCTGCAAGGGCGCAACAAAGTTGTCACGCAGTATTTTGACAGCATACGTTCTTTCAAGTTGAAGCTGTCATTGTGGGAGACGCAACTTGCCGGTGGTGATGCAGCTCACTTCCCCTGTCTGAAAAATGTGTGCGCGACCCAACATGTGGCAGACATGAAGCGGTTCAAAGATAAAATAACGGGACTGTTACGGGAGTTTGAGCAACGCTTTCAGATTTATGTTTATATGTTTTTATGTTGATGTGCTATTGTTTTTAATTGTTTTTATTTTATTTGTATATTTAACCTATTCTTGACTCTGTGGTTCTTGCACTTGTTTGGGGAACAGGATTTCATTATTTTTATCTACATTTCTGCCTGAGAAATGACACCCTGATATAGTTCTGTGATCTGTGATATACTTCTGTGAATCACTGAGGCATTGTGTGTTTGTGTGTTCTTTGTCCTCAGAACTTTCAAATAACTTGATGTGTTTTATGATTAATAGTGATGTTGTGCTTTTGGACACTGTCCTCAGGCTCCAGCTTTATGTTTATATGTTTTTATGTTGATGTGCTATTGTTTTTAATTGTTTTTATTTTATTTGTATATTTAACCTATTCTTGACTCTGTGGTTCTTGCACTTGTTTGGGGAACAGGATTTCATTATTTTTATCTACATTTCTGCCTGAGAAATGACACCCTGATATAGTTCTGTGATCTGTGAAACAGTTCTGTTAATCACTGAGGCATTGTGTGTTTGTGTGTTCTTTTTCTTTAGAATTTTCAAATCAACTTGACGTGTTTTATGATTAATAGTGATGTTGTGCTTGTACTATTTTGGACACACTGTCCTCAGGCTCCAGCTTTATGTTGTATGTTGATCGTATTAAAACAAAGAAAACAATCTGAAGTTGTTGTTTTTAAGTTATATATACCATGATTTTTCCGGTCCGGCCCACTTGGGAATAGATTTTCCTCCATGTGGCCCCTGAGCTAAAATGAGTTTGACACCCCTGGTTTAAACAGTGCCAAACGTTTGCCCCCTGTTCTATTGATTTCAGTGATGGAAGTGATTAAGAAAAAAGTGTTGCGTTACACTTACCGCGTTGGCGACCCACTTGATGCGACCCTCAAAATGTAGCTAGCTGTCTTCTACAAATTGTCCTCTAATCAGTGATGTACACATTATTCCCAGATTCCGTGTGGTTTTTGAGCTGTGTTAGTTTTAACAGGACGTGCAACCTCACCCCTCTCGCGCAATTGATTTCAACGTGATAATCGATAGGACTGATTTACAAAAGTGTTGTTTCTCTTTCTGTTTTGGTGTGTGTGCAGTTTAAGGTTATCGTAAAAAAAATAAAAGTAATATGATTACTGTTGCACATGTATGTATAGATAGTACATTTAATGTTTGTTTTCAATATCAAACTGTTTGTGCAAATTGGTTATTGATTTGGACACTTTAAAACTGTGTTTTGACATTGGGCTATTTATCATTGTCTTGTCAACAGGCAGCAGCGACAGCATCCTTTTCAATTAGATTTTAGGAATATAAATTAAACTTTCAACATTAATGTCCAATGGTATTGTACTTAATCAGGTAAAAACAGCTGGAAAAGTCCAAAAACATGCTGTGATTTATTTATTTAGATGATGTACCAGTTTACACCGTGTTTGCCCTGCCTAAACATAGGCCTAATTGTAGCTTGCTGGTTGACATTACAGGAATGTTACCAAGCAAGGCTTGTCCTGGGAGGCTTCCTCCAACAGCCTATAAAGAAAAGATAGCTAGCTAGTGCACTCTATTGCAGGAATATAATAGCTACTTTTCACCAATGCGAAGACCTTGTTGGGTTGCTAGCTAACATCCTCTTCATCTGTGTCTCATTTCCCAAAGATAAAAGACTTGGGTTGTTCTTGAATTGCAGTGGCATTTGCATCCCTGGTCTTTGCAACCACTAACAGTTACACATCAAATGTTTGTTTATATTTAACTGTTTATCAATGATAAACATAATGCAAGTCATTTATACTGCAACACTTTATGTTCATGCATTGCACAAAGGGTACAATTGGCTTGTCCCAATAGTGACATGATTTAGGGATATGTTAATTATTTTGAATGCTAGAAAGTAAACACGTGTTTAAATCAATATAAACAAATCTATTCCAAATACCTATATATTTTTTACAAAATATAATATGTCCCAGAGTTTTATGTCATTGGTATTTCTGCCTTGAAAATCGCTCATTACAAAGAAGGATCCTGAGTATTCCCTCTATTGGGGGAGGGGTCCACAAAAAATATAGACGTGATAATTCCATTGACAATTTGGTGTCTAAAACCAGTGTCACTTGGTGTTACTCAATTTAAATGAAATAAAATTACATTGTGAGCAATGTTATTAATCATATCACTTTAGTTAAGGATCTTTATAGGGTTAATTACCTTAGATTTGAGCATCTCTGGTCTCCATTACATTTGTTTTTTAATTTACCTAAAATGTATTATTGGTGTTACTACCTTGCTGGTGGCACAATGTTATCATAAAGGTAAAAATGATTTAAAGTCATTAACCTGCCATAAAGTCCAGAACAATTAAGTAAATTTTTCCAAAATGCCATGCCCAAATGCCACTGCAATTCAATAACATCCCACTTGCTACACCTTTTCAGAAATCTACTGTTTGTTTGTATACAGATATTGAATTTGACACACCTACATAATATCTGTTATTCTAGGATTGTGAGGACAGTGCCAGCCTGTCTCTTCCCTACCAACCTGATCCCGAACCTACAGTCACACTGGGTCCTGACTGTAACAGTGGAGCTCAGTGCACATTGCCTCCTCTTGCACTGCTGCTGGAAGACTGCATTAATCTGCTGGGGCCAAATGCAGAGTCTATGAAACTCGAGGAGGTAGCGTAGTAAGCGTACATTACAAAATGATGTAGTACATCAACGTATATTATTCCATTCGACACCACCTACAATGCCTGTTTATGTTGTCTTTTATTTTAGGATTGTGAGGACAGTCCCAGCCTGTCTCTTCCCCATCAACCTGATCCCATTTCGCCCCTCAAGAGGGTGACAGTACTGCTGAAAGACTGCAGGAAATCACTGAGTCCTGGCTGTAACAGTGGAGCTCAGAGGACACTGCTGCCTCTCAAGAGAGTTAGAGTACAGCTGGAGGACTGCAGGAAGAAGCTGGGGCCAAATGCACAATCTATACAAGTTGAGGTTGTTGATAGTAGAGGTTCAACTCATCCAGGGAATTTATCAAATTAGTAAACGTATAAGCATTTACTAATATTACTTTCTTCAATAATCGGCACATAAGACGTGTCTTCCTGTGTTTCTAGACTGACTTGTTGACACTTATGTTGGTATGTTTTGTTGGAAAGTCAATGATTTGGACTTCCCCATGATCTTTGATCTCATATTTTATGTGGCCTAGAGGGTGACATCTTCCTCACACAAAACGGCACTGAACTGTGGAAAAACACATCACAATACTCTGCAGTGTGGTTAAAGTTAGTCATCTATGTTTAAAATTCAAGCTCTAGTTACAGTATTAAAATCCTGCCTTGTTATGTGCTGTCTTGACTCCTGTCAAAATGCTTTTTATGCATGGGACAAATGTCAGCATGGTCCTTTCGAATGATTTTAAATGTTGTTCAATGCTTCTCGTCTGGCTTGTCATTACTGTGATGTTGTTTGAAATGATTTAACAGATTAACTAGATTTAGTTAATGATAGTGAATGTGTGTTTGGATAAACCGACAGACCTATGTGTTTAATTTAGATACTATGTATAAAGACTAGATGTAAAATAAAAGATTTCCACGAAAGTGTAAAACTCTTGACCTAGTTTTTGATTTTCAGTTTGATTTATAAGATAGTGAAACAGTGAAATCTGCCTTACATAGAGGCTAGGCTACACCAAAGCCATCAAGTCAAAGACTTCCATTAATACACCGATCAATATATTCATAGTCACAACCTCCTGAAGCAAAGGTTCCTTGAGTCATCCATCTATGATATTTGAATTGTACAAAAACATTGCATTTCATTGATTGTTGTGGAAAACTTAGCAACAAAGTTAAACTACTTTGATTTAAGAGTAATTGTCAGACTAAGTAGATTTAATCCCCCTTATTATTCAAAAGTCAACATTTCAACTATTTTCAGAATTTGCTAAGATCTGACTAAGCCTCATAGCTGAATGGAATCAGTATTTGTGTTCTGTCCTGGTCACGAGATATTTCTTACCCCCATAAAAATAATGTCAGGAGGTATAGCAGGAGGAGTTTTCTGTTGAAAGTGTGAGATGTAGATGGAGCACTTCTCAGGGTCTGGTGTGATATCAGACTCTACAGCACCCTGGGCTTCTCCAGGGCTTCTCCTGGATCTTTGGTCTCTGAACTTCTCCCAGCCTCAGCTATAGAACTCAGAGAGACAGTTCTAGAACTCTTTGATCCAAACGCAGAGCGGTGTTCAGACGCTGCTAGTGATGTCAGGGTGCCGTATGCAGAGCTTCTCCGAGACTGCTCAGATATCTCATCTCCACTCACTGTGGAACAAAACAACAATGTGACTGTCCATGTTTCTCAACGAATGGGTGCTGGGCACCTGACAACACTAAGAATATAGATTCTGCTCCAGGGTTAGTCAGAATACGGTAACACTCACTGTTTGGATGAAATCTATCTTTGCTCCTTGCTCTCCAAAAGTAAATCCTCGCTCTCAACTTCTTTAGACCCCAGCCTCTGCCTCCTGTGGGTGCTGAGCTGGTCTCAGACTCTGTGGTGGATCTAAAAGAGCTGTGTGCAGAACTTCTCAGAGACTAGGTACCATATATCTGCCATCTCCACTCACTGTGGAACAACACAACATCATATCCAGGGATCTCTAGTACTGTGAGGTATTTTACAGTTTTTTTTCCAATCACGTACAAGGATTTTTTGGAACTGTGATTAAACTTCCCTTTAACAAAACAACTATGGTCAAATTCTTAAATACATTTTCAGAATGTCTGATCATGTTCTTGCCTTTGTACCTGGATTGCATATCTTAGACCCACTTTTGCAAAACTTTAAATACAATTTTAATCAATTAATAAAAAATTCACTATAAAGTGTTTTGTTCATAGAATATCAACACATTGTTTTCATAAGATGAGCAAAGGTTGCAAATGTGTTCACTGTTTCTGGCAATCAGGAAATACTACTGCACAAAATTGTAAATTGCTTTATCAGTAGTAGGCCTGAAACAGGAACAATATAGGGAAAGATCTAGGCACAGGGACTGTCTAAGTTATATGACTTTGGGTTACTCCTAAGCCATCATCTCCAACATTACAGAGCTTTGCTTTGGTGTGAATTGAGGCCTATACATTCATATCAGTTGTGTTTCTCCACTATATTCACCTTTTTTTTTTTTTTTTTTTGTAGATAAGCTTAATATTGCAGATAGATTGTAACCTCCATCAATGTAATTGTCTGCATCACTTCCAATCCCCCATGTTTTATATATATATATATATATATATATATATATATATATATATATATATATATATATACATACACACACAGTGGGGAAAAAAAGTATTTAGTCAGCCACCAATTGTGCATGTTCTCCCACTTAAAAAGATGAGAGAGGCCTGTAATTTTCATCATAGGTACACGTCAACTATGACAGACAAAATGAGAAAAAAATCCAGAAATTCACATTGTAGGATTTGTAATGAATTTATTTGCAAATTATGGTGGAAAATAAGTATTTGGTCAATAACAAAAGTTTCTCAATACTTTGTTATATACCCTTTGTTGGCAATGACACAGGTCAAATGTTTTCTGTAAGTCTTCACAAGGTTTTCACACACTGTTGCTGGTATTTTGGCCCATTCCTCCATGCAGATCTCCTCTAGAGCAGTGATGTTTTGGGGCTGTCACTGGGCAACATGGACTTTCAAACTCCCTCCAAAGATTTTCTATGGGGTTGAGATCTGGAGACTGGCTAGGCCACTCCAGGACCTTGAAATGCTTCTTATGAAGCCACTCCTTCGTTGCCCGGGCGGTGTGTTTGGGATCATTGTCATGCTGAAAGACCCAGCCACGTTTCATCTTCAATGCCCTTGCTGATGGAAGGAGGTTTTCACTCAAAATCTCACGATACATGGCCCCATTCATTCTTTCCTTTACACGGATCAGTCGTCCTGGTCCCTTTGCAGAAAAACAGCCCCAAAGCATGATGTTTCCACCCCCATGCTTCACAGTAGGTATGGTGTTCTTTGGATGCAACTCATCATTCTTTGTCCTCCAAACACGTCGAGTTGAGTTTTTACCAAAAAGTTATATTTTGGTTTCATCTGACCATATGACATTCTCCCAATCCTCTTCTGGATCATCCAAATGCACTCTAGCAAACTTCAGACGGGCCCTGGACATGTACTGCCTTAAGCAGGGGGACACGTCTGGCACTGCAGGATTTGAGTCCCTGGCGGCGTAGTGTGTTACTGATGGTAGGCTTTGTTACTTTGGTCCCAGCTCTCTGCAGGTCATTCACTAGGTCCCCCCGTGTGGTTCTGGGATTTTTGCTCACCGTTCTTGTGATCATTTTGACCCCACGGGGTGAGATCTTGCGTGGAGCCCCAGATCGAGGGAGATTATCAGTGGTCTTGTATGTCTTCCATTTCCTAATAATTGCTCCCACAGTTGATTTCTTCAAACCAAGCTGCTTACCTATTGCAGATTCAGTCTATATATATACATATACACATACACATACACATACACACATACATACACACATACATACACATGTACATATACACACCCACATACACATACATATCCTTTAAAAAATATATATACACTGCTCAAAAAAATAAAGGGAACACTAAAATAACACATCCTAGATCTGAATGAATGAAATATTCTTATTAAATACTTTTTTCTTTACATAGTTGAATGTGCTGACAACAAAATCACACAAAAATGATCAATGGAAATCAAATTTATCAACCCATGGAGGTCTGGATTTGGAGTCACACTCAAAATTAAAGTGGAAAACCACACTACAGGCTGATCCAACTTTGATGTAATGTCCTTAAAACAAGTTAAAATGAGGCTCAGTAGTGTGTGTGGCCTTCACGTGCCTGTATGACCTCCCTACAACGCCTGGGCATGCTCCTGATGAGGTGGCGGATGGTCTCCTGAGGGATCTCCTCCCAGACCTGGACTAAAGCATCCGCCAACTCCTGGACAGTCTGTGGTGCAACGTGGCATTTGGTGGATGGAGCGAGACATGATGTCCCAGATGTGCTCAATTGGATTCAGGTCTGGGGAACGGGCGGGCCAGTCCATAGCATCAATGCCTTCCTCTTGCAGGAACTGCTGACACACTCCAGCCACATGAGGTCTAGCATTGTCTTGCATTAGGAGGAACCCAGGGCCAACCGCACCAGCATATGTTCACACAAGGGGTCTGAGGATCTCATCTCGGTACCTAATGGCAGTCAGGCTACCTCTGGCGAGCACATGGAGGGCTGTGCGGCCACCCAAAGAAATGGCACCCCACACCATGACTGACCCACCGCCAAACCGGTCATGCTGGAGGATGTTGCAGGCAGCAGAACGTTCTCCACGGCGTCTCCAGACTCTGTCACGTCTGTCACATGTGCTCAATGTGAACCTGCTTTCATCTGTGAAGAGCACAGGGCGCCAGTGGCGAATTTGCCAATCTTGGTGTTCTCTGGCAAATGCCAAACGTCCTGTACGGTGTTGGGCTGTAAGCACAACCCCCACCTGTGGACGTCGGGCCCTCATACCACCCTCATGGAGTCTGTTTCTGACCGTTTGAGCAGACACATGCACATTTGTGGCCTGCTGGAGGTCATTTTGCAGGGCTCTGGCAGTGCTCCTCCTGCTCCTCCTTGCACAAAGGTGGAGGTAGCGGTCCTGCTGCTGGGTTGTTGCCCTCCTACGGCCTACTCCCACGTCTCCTGATGTACTGGCCTTTCTCCTGGTAGCGCCTCCATGCTCTGGACACTACGCTGACAGACACAGCAAACCTTCTTGCCACAGCTCGCATTGATGTGCCCATCCTGGATGAGCTGCACTACCCTGAGCCACTTGTGTGGGTTGTAGACTCCGTCTCATGCTACCACTAGAGTGAAAGCACCGCCAGCATTCAAAAGTGACCAAAGCATCAGCCAGGAAGCATAGGAACTGAGAAGTGGTCTGTGGTCACCACCTGCAGAACCACTCCTTTATTGGGGGTGTCTTGCTAATTGCCTATAATTTCCACCTGTTGTCTATTCCATTTGCACAACAGCATGTGAAATGTATTGTCAATCAGTGTTGCTTCCTAAGTGGACAGTTTGATTTCACAGAAGTGTGATTGACTTGGAGTTACATTGTGTTGTTTAAGTGTTCCCTTTATTTTTTTGAGCAGTGTATATTCCCCTTTATTACTTTCAAACCCCCCCGGCTTTCCCACCCCCCCCTTTTCCCCTTTTCCGTTTTGGGGGGAAAAGGGCTCTTTTTTTTTAAAAAACCCAACCCTTTTCCTTTAAAGGGGTTTTAAAGGAAAAAAGGGGGGGGGAAACCCCCCCCCCCGGGGGGCCCCAAAAAAAAAACCCCCGGGTAAAAAAAAATAGCCCCCCCAAAAACCGGGGGGTTCGGGCCCAGGCCCCCCCCCTTTTAAAAAAAGAAAACCTTTTTTTGGGCTTTTTTCCCCCCCCCAAACCCCAAACCCGGCCCCCCAAAAAACCCCCTTTTTGAAAAGGGCTTTAAATGTCTCGGGGCCCCCCTTTGGGGGGAAATTTAAAAAAGGGGGAAAAAAA